TCTCTCTCTCTCTCTCTCTCTCTCTCTCTCTCTCTCTCTCTCTCTCTCTCTCTCTCTCCTGCATCTCTCTGATCCCCACCTCTCTCGCCGTACGTATGCGCGCGTCGGCCGCCGCCGCCGCTGCTGCTGCTGCTGCTGCTGCTTCTGCATTGAATCTGCAGACGAGATCAACGACGACTTCAAGGAAACGGACCTTGCGATCGTCATCGGTTCGAACGACTGCGTCAACTCCGCGGCGGAGGACGACGAGAACTCCGCCATCTACGGCATGCCGGTCCTCAAGGTTTGTCCGCACCTTCCGAGCTCCGCTGTTGTGGTCGGTGCCACCCGGTCCACACAACGACTGGAAGGAAGCATTTAAGTGCTGTGGGTGCTTCTGAAGGGCGCAATATAGATGAGGGCCGAAGTTTGATTTTTTGTTTTCGTGGAGCTTTAATCAAACCATTGAACTAGGAAGCGCTGGCTAGTTTTGATGTCTTCATTTCGGCTTTGTTACTCCGTTGGGTGTGACACCAAGGGTTGGTGCATGTTTGCATCCTGACAGGAGGTACTGGTGGTATTTTGTATTTTGTTGTTGCGCTGCGGGTCGGACTGCGGGCTTGATGGGGAGTATTAAGACAATCCAAGGCGGTTGGTACGCAGCACAGTACAGCACCGAATATGATACAACACACCCCGGTGTAATCGAAAAATCATCGCTCCGGGTGTGTTAGTCTGCGCGGGGGAGGTGCGGTATCTCATGCGGCGCCCTATTATAGAGAATGAGTCTGTTGTTCGGGCTCATGTTGATTCGAAAAAATAGTATCAACCTGTGTGCGGCATTGCGTATTGGAGTGTGTACTACCTTGAGTCGCACACGGTACATCTACCCGAATCCTGTGGTTTGCTACCCCGCACCCTTCCCGTCGCCCTGCCACCTATTTGCTGGGGTCCTACTAATCCCTTTGCCTCCACTTTCTCTACGTACGCGGCAACGTTTTTCGGCCGTCTCTCAGGTTTGGGATGCCAAGGATTGCGTCGTCATCAAGCGGTCCATGGCAACAGGTTACGCCGGACTGGACAACCCCGTCTTTTACAAGGTACTGACTGCTCTACTCGTGCATACACTGGAAACTCTTGTCCACACCCTTGGTAGGGAGCGGGTTGGTGGCTTGGAGGTGACGCTTGCATGACACCGGTCAACGGTTCTACATATACGTCTTTTGAGGCGATGCTCCTATCGCACTGGTTGCTGTCCTCGTTTAAAGAGTGTGGTTAGCTCTGCTTCCGTTGCGTCAGGTTACCCCCCCCCCTTGCTCCGTCCTCTCGAGGACGCGTGGTCAATGGTCTAACCGCTAAGACATGCAAAACATAAGAGTACGCCCCC